TGATAGAGTGTGGAATTTATTGTGTTCATCTTTTAAAAATTTTTTTTAGTTGTTTGTAATATTACGTGGGTTGGGTACTTATTTAATTTAATTTCTGACATTATTTTTATTTTATTATAATTATATAAAATAAAATATAAAATAAAATAAAATTTTGAAGCTCTCGCTGAGTTGTGGAACAAGAAAAACCCAGGGTATACGAATAAATATAAATGGTAAGCTTCTTTTTCAACCTAAAGCTATTATAAATAAATGCTATTAAAATAAATGAAAGCACATCGCGTTGATATTTTATTTATTTATTTTATTTAATGACCTTTACAGAAAAAAACATTACGAACAGTTCATATCTTCGCCAAACTGTAAAAAACTGTCTTTACAGTGTTGTTGTTCTTTCGACGAAATATGTTTTTTTATGCTTATGCTTTTAACTTTCCGCTAAAAAATTGAAAATTTAAAAAAATAGGGAAGTTATTGGTTTCAACCCGATTTTCGAAAATCGAGTTTTAATCAGATCTCGACGTTTTGAGATCCCGGGAAGCTATCCTTACTAATTTCACGTGGACACCCGTGCGGATGTATGTGAGTGCGTGTGCGTGCGTGCGTGCATGCGTGCGTGTGTGCGTGCGTGCGTGCGTGCGCGCAAGTCTGTGTATGTGTGTGTGTGCGTGTGTGTGCGTGTGCGCGCGGTGTGTGTGTGTGTGTGTGTGTGTGTGTGTGTAAGTATGTAATCCTTTCATAACTTTTGATCGAAAAATTTAGAATTTGACTTGTCTTGATCGATTGAGATGCGGCGTTCTAAAGATCTCAATGTGGAATAGATTTGGTGATAATATGAACTGATTCGGACGAGTAGATTCTGAGAAATCTCAAATATATAAATTGAGAAAACTTTTTTGGAATTAATTCTAAACGGCTTTAATACACATAAAATTAAAAGCATAAAGTGCAAGCGGGGAAAGAAGGGTGACTATCAGCTACCAAGGTTTGTTATATTTATACAGTATAAAATATTATATAAAAATTTTAGCCACAAACATTAGTGTCTGGAATTTTATGAAATACCACCGTTATATTATCTCTTGTAATCTACCGCAACTAAAACGAGTTACTTCAAACTATCAGGAAATACTCCGAATACACAGAGATTACGCCATGGGGAAACAATGTTACGAAAACAAAGTTTTTGTTAGTGAACTACCAACAACATCCAATAGAATTAACCTGCCTATCAATGTTTATACTTTAGCAATATTATTTCTACAATAGCATTATGGAAATATCTGCGCTTATTGATTTATGATGCTGTGGTAGCTCAGGGGTTTGGCGCACGCTTTAAATTTTATAATACGCGAGCAGCCCGGGTTCATGTCTCGCTGACACCAATGCACTTTTATGCAGTGTTGTGTAGTTGGAATTTTAAGTACTGATTTACCACATGCTCGACGGTGATGGAAATTTTCATGCAATTAGAAATGTCTTCTGCATGTGAAGCTGTCAACACTAATCTGCTTTTGCTTTTTGTTCAAATAAAATAAAATGGACGTCCAGTGTGTGTTTAATTAGCACTCAATATTTAATACAATATATCTCTTAAAATAACATGCTAACTCTAAATTTTATATATTAGCTACCGCGGAAAACAGATCGCGGGCTTCGTATCTAATTGTACATTAAAGGAACATTGAGTAAATATTTAATGCGGTACAGAGCAACTTAATTCTATGTGATAAATTATTTATAAGGAAACGCTATGCCAAATTGGTTTTTAATGAGACGAGCTATCACGTGTAACTGTGGGAGCACTTAAGAAATTGGTTTTTTACACACTTAAACTGTGATCTTCAAATATCTCTTTTAAAAACTGATAAAAATAAAGTATTTTTCAAACTAATTATGAAAAATGAGTACACGTTCCATAAGAGGGTGATTGAATGATTGTGAATCCTAGACAGACACAATTACTCTAAATTAAATACAAAAATTAAAAAATCAATCTAAATCACGAAAAATGATTCTTAATTTAATAAAAAAAAACGAAACACAGCAGCATTAAGCTGCTATTTTATGATGGTAATCTGTGAGAGCATGGTCTTTTCCCAATTGAGCTATTCATGCTACAACCATAATATAGCGGAAGAATATTTATAACCCGTGTGTAAATATACGTAGTATACGTATAAATAAATATGAATGGATATTAAGTCGCCCGTAGGCTTTCGAGCAGCATGGGACGTGTCTTTTGCGCGTTTTAATTGAATGTATCTGAGGACTAAAATGGAATGCCTCATTTCCAATAAAAAGTATCTCCGATTCTCGTCACTCCCCACGTGAAACACAGCAGCATTATGCTACTATTTCATTATGGTATTATGTTAAACCTGAACCTTTCATTGTCGAGCCATATCTTTTGTCTTGCAACCATAAAATAGCTGCAGCCTGTCTACGTAAAAATGTCTATAGTTTTATTTATATAACTAAAGTGAAAAACGAACATACAGTTTACCTGATGGTAGGTGGCTATCCCGGGTCAGGGCAAAAAAATTATTTATAGACTTTTTCACTCAGAAATTCTCAGTAGCAGCCCGGAGTCAGAACGTTGCCGATGTTTTACCCTGCGTGTCTCGGAAAATACGTAACGTCGTGTTTTATTGCGATACCTATATAGTTTTCTCATCTGGTTGGGTTCTATAAATATATAATTATAAATGAAAATGAAAAGATAAATATACATAAATATCAATAACATAAAATAAATATAAAAGTACATAAATAAGTAAAAGCCCAACCAGATGGAGGCCCTCGGCAGGGGAGACCAAACGGCCGAGGGTTAGGGGGAAAGGGAAAGAAACCGGCGGACGATGCGGGCGGTATCGAGGAGCACCGCCTTCTGCATTTGAACCTGGAGCGGTCCGCCACGTAGTCCCAGCCGCCTCAGATGACCCGAGAGGCTGACTGGGATTAGCCCGTTTGCAGAGACGACTACAGGAATAATTTCGGTCGGCAGACCACCCCACATGTCGGTCACCTCGTGAGCCAGGTCCAGATATTTTGTTTGCTTGTCTGTTTCGGCTTTCACGAGGTTCTCGTCATACGGAATGGTAATGTCGACCAAAAATATCCTTGACTGTGCCCGGTCCATCAGCACAATATCAGGCTTATTCGCAAGAATAGTCCTGTCTGTGATGATGGCCCGGTCCCAATAGAGCCTGGCGCGATCATTTTCGAGCACGGCTTCCGGCAAGTACTTGTAATACGGCAATTTCCGATCCACGAGACCGTATTTCAGAGCGAGCTCCTGGTGTAGAATTCTGGCTACTAGGTTGTGCCTGTGCAAGTACTCACTCACAGAACAACCGGAGATAACATGCCTAAGTGACTCACCGGGATGGCGACAAGCTCGACAGATGTCGACGGTGCCATCCTTTAGGATGTATCTCCGATAGTTGTTGGTCTTAATAACCTGATCCTGTATTGCACAGACAAAACCCTCGGTTTCCCCGAAGAGATCACCAAAGCGTAGCCAGTGGAGGGAGGCTACTGTGTCTACGAAAGGCTCATGTAGAGCCTTGTAGAACCTCCCGTGGAGCTCCTTCTCCTTCCATACGGTCTGCCGGTCGGAAATGCTCTGCACTGCCGGGTCTTGCCATTGCTCGTTGGCTAAGGATAGAGGGGTAAGTCCTTTATCACAAGAAATGACGTCCTTATAGAATGGATCATCCGATCTCGCAAGGAAGTAATCACGGAGGCTGCACACTTCGCGGTTATGCATGGTGAGCGCGCTCAAGAAGCCACGGCCACCATGCTTCCGCGACAAGTACAGCCTCATTACCGACGATGTCGGATGATGCATCCTATGGGACGTCATGGTAGTGCGGACTTTTCTATCCAGGGCGTTAAGTTCAGTCTGAGTCCACCTGAGTATGCCAAAGGTATACATGAGGACAGGCATGACCCAACCGTTATATGCGTGTGCCTTATTCACACCGGACAAAAGGCTGTTAAGCACTTTGGTCAAGCGTGCATAAAACACGTCGCAAACTGACTGTTTCATACCAGCCTCATCGATACCGATGTTCTGTGACATACCCAGGTATCGGTATGTTTCAGCCTCGGAAAGGGTTCTTAAGTTGACGGGCATAGATAAGTCTATGCCCTCAGAGTTAGCAACCCTTCCCCTTTCAACATGGAGGACCGCACACTTATCCGTCCCCAGCTCCATTCTAATAGAATTGCTAAATTCACACGTGATGTTTCGCAATTCCATAAGGTGGGAGCGACTGGAGGCGAATAATTTGAGGTCATCCATATAGAAAAGGTGGGTCACTTTTGTACCTTCTTTCCGAAGCTGAAATCCCCTCCCGGAGCCCTCCAGTAAAGTACTGAGAGGGTTCAAAGAGAGGCAGAACCAGATTGGACTCAGAAAGTCGCCCTGGAATATACCACTTCTTATCCTTATGCGGCTTTCCGCAGCCGTCATCCGCTCGCCTAGATGACAGAGGATCGTACTCCACTGCCCCATACACTGCTCGAGGAAGTCTCGAACTGTACAGTCAATCTTGTACAGCCCGAGGACCCTCTTTAGCCATGTATGGGGCACCGAGTCAAATGCCTTTCTGTAATCTATCCAGGCGGCGGCGAAGTTCCGACGGTTGCGTTTCACCACTTTGCCAATGACCGCGTCAATGAGGAGTGGTTCCTTGGTTCCACGACCGCCGCCCCGACATCCATTTTGAGCGCGCGACATCACCTGATTTAAGTCCAGGTGACGAGCGATTCTTGCGCTCAAAATGGATGTTAGTGTCTTGTATATGGTCGGTAGACACGTGATGGGGCGGTATTTGCTCGGGTCTGTGGCACCCTGATCTTTAGGGACCAAATGAGTGATCCCAGTAGTGAAGAGGCTTGGGAGCGACTTCTGGTTGAGAGCCTCTTGAAACTGTCGGGCGAGCACAGAGTGACACACCATGAACCCCTTCAGCCAGTAGTGATGCAGCCCGTCAAGCCCCGGACTTTTCCAGTTCGGGGGCCCTACGGACCGCCTCAGCTACGTCATCCGGCGTTATGATGACGGGGTCCATGGGCGTAATACTCGCACACTGACTCGCCACAACTTCCGTCCAAGGGCCCTCGTTGTGGTTTACGGGCTCTGGCCACAGGCTGCGCCAGAATGCGACCATGTCGGCCTGATTTGTTGCAGGGCCCGTTCCACTTACTATTGGTCGCTCCAATGATTTATAGAACCTCTTCTGATCACTCTGGAAGAAACGATTCTGGTTGAACCGTGTCGACCTCTCGGTATATCGCCGAATCCGCTTTCCCCAAGCAGCTATTCTTTGCTTCAGGTCGTCTATGCGCTCCGTCAGTTTTTGCATTATATCCGGCTGGGACAAACTAACATTTGTCCCAGCAAACGCCATCCTGACGGTGCGCACAATCCTTGGCCTGGTATTGCCTGACCTGAAGCATATCAGTCTGCCGATGAGGGCCCTAGCCTTTGCGATACGTTCTTCAATTCTTATTCTCCAGGCTGGGATAGCACTACTTTGTCCAGTAGTGCGTCCAGCCGTGGAAAGTTTGGCACCTATAATACGGCAGACTGCCAGTGCGGCGCCAAAAAGAATTGAGTCCGTCTCGCAAAGGTCCCGGCTGGCTTCCAAATAGGTAACCAGCATTGGGTTCAGAGCCCTCACGACAGCCCGATTCCGCTTGCTTAGGGCTAAGCGGGGGAAGTCGCGGTCGATTTTCGAGAGTCGTACTGCGCGTTTCCACAATCGCCTCTTCCAATGTACTCCTCATTTGCTCTAGTTCCAGTTCCTGGGCGACTGTTCCATCATCGTTTGAATCAACCACAACTGCCCGCCCGCGAAGACCCTGCCGACACCAAGCCAGCTGGTGGGGATGATGGATGCGAGGAGCTGCTGGGTGGTCGTGCAGCACCTCGCGCTCGGCTGGCGGTTCGCATGCTGTCGCGTCCAGCGCCAGCTCCAGACGCGCCCTGGCGACCTCCAGGCAGCGGCCCTTTGCGCGTTCCATTTGATTCCATCATCCATTTTAGGGCGTCATTTAGCGGGAGACGCCCAGACCCGGCGCCGTTTCATGGTTAGGCCATGTGCACAAGCGGGCCTTGGCACCTTCAATTTTTGCCGAGGCACGGCACTAACACCTCTTGGCAAGGTGCTGACTGACTGCGCCGACGTAGCGGTTTTGTCACATAACCGTTATATCAGCGGGCGATGGGGTCGTCACTTCCCTACGCCTTTCGATACCTATTATTATTATTGTTACGAGCTTACGATTCGTATGAGCTACTCTTCCAACCAACGGGCCTGTTCGGGAGGAGATAAATTATTCCAGTAATGGTAGGCTGCATACTTATAACAACCTCGAAAGGCTGAAGAAGAATGTCGCGGAATACTGAGCCTATTATAGGATGAAGCGCGGGTGAGATACTTGCTATGCTCGCGAATAAACTAATCATATATATATATATATATATATATATATATATATATATATATTGTTTGTTTTCATTCATAAAACTTATTCATCTCTCTATCTAAACGTTGAATCACGGATCTTTGGTTGAAATGATTCAAATTAGTGATGGAGAGCAGCGTAAAAATCAAGATACATCTAGTAGTGTATTCGCCAGTGCACGTGTTAAGCGTGGGAATATGGCAAATATTTTGTGATGGCAGAAGCTCATGTATTGCTGTGGACTGTCACTCTCTGATAAAGAAAGAAAAGAAAACGAAAATATTAACTCCTGGATTTACAGTTGGACCATATAACACAACTAAAACTAATTTTATGGATTGTATGGTGTTTAATTGGTCACGGGAAGACTATGGGACCGCAAAAGCAACCGAAATATCGGAAGTTAAAATTAAGTAAAAATTAAACGCGATAAAATTGGTAAAACTGTTTTATTCAATGTGTAGTTTTGCGTAAATATCGTTGAAAATCGTTGACAAAAAAATTTAAGCGGATAACGGAGCACAGTGACATACCACCACAGCTTTAGCAGCGATTCTATGTAATCGCAGTCAGACTGAAACCGCAGTGTCCCCTCTACTGTGATCTGATTTGAAGGGTAAAGAGAGTATTTACAGGCTGTGAGGAATTCCAATTTAGTCATCATAAGTGACATCGTAGCCTTCTTTGTATTTGGTTAGAGGTGTCTCTAGGCTGAAGGAGACAGTTACCGTTTACAGTATAAAATATTAAAAAATCAGAAACACATTATATTTTATTTGTGTATTATAAAAAACATTCTATTTGTATAAAAACGGCTTTATTTTAGCGTACCTACGTAAAGCATTAAAATTTAATCCAAAAATAATTGGAATCCAGCTTACAATATCCTTCTTTTATAATTTATTCGTATTTGTTCCCGGATAAAGGTTTAAAATGTCTCGCATTTCTGAATAGGTACGAGTATAAATAAATATCCATGGTATCTCAGGAGCTTTAGTCCCTCATTCGCTGTTAATTTCATAGTATTTTAGCAACCCGTGTTCGATCTCGACGACACCAATGAAATGGTTAATAACAATTTTAACGACAAGTAAATTGTTTCGAACCCCTTATTTTAGCTGGGGACTGAGGGGTTAATTATTAATAATAATGATCGGTCATATCCTTTTAGCAACGATGAAGGTACAAGACAAATGGTTAACTTTTACGATCCTGAATTAAAAAAAGACTAGAAATACGATGGGTAAAAAAAAATTAAAAGTCCTTTATTTTCAAGGGTTTTATTGCAAAGGTTTGTCGAGATTTCCCTATATGTAGTAATAGACACTTGTGTTGGTATTAACTCGCTACTTCACTTACGGTTGGCTAAATAAGATTATATGAACTCTATTATATCTAGAAAATTAGAATGGTTAACATGCGTAGTGGTTGGGTTTAATTTAAATTGTAGCTCTATTAAAGTGATGAACTGTGTAAGCGTGCATGTTAGTATAAATGTGCGTTAGTTAGTGTGTATATATGTTAGTGTGTGTCTGTGCATATTCATGTGTGCGTATGCGCATGCGTTTGTGCGTGAGTATGTGTGTGTATGCGAGCACGCGTGCGCGCGCGCGCGCGTGTTTGTGTGTGTGTGTGTCGATCTTCTGACTTCTGATAAGCCCTACGTATAATGTTACATGGGATTGGTATGAATATGCCGCATAAAGGTACCGACATTAAGTTTATCCAAAATTTTAACTAATTCTTATGAAAAGTTTATCAAAATCTTCATTTCTATATAGGTGGACTGACTACTATATTATCTTCTGGCGAAAGCAATACGTGCAGCAGTGACATGCAACGACATCCTTCTTTCTTTTATGACTCAGGTCTACATAAGGCAAAGGATTTGTGACATGTTTGTTGCACATAACCTGGCGTAGTGACTTGAATACCCATATGAGATTCCTAGTTTGGTTTGTTAAAAAATCCAAATGTCAGTTATAGCTAAGTCGTTGATCCAGCATTATATCTAGTTTGGATAAATTTTTCAATAGTAGTCGCAAATCAGGTTACCAGGGTTAGAGCAAGTGTGGATATTTATGGCAAAGTTATGATCAGCATGGGATTTCTTAGGAGGACTGAAGCAGATAAATTTTGTTTTTTGGATGTTCAAGGTTGAAAGTTTTCAAGTTTGAAAGAAGGTTGTCTCTGAGTCAATTAGATATATTGATTTATCCCCTCTCAGTACTTGCTTACACACTACCCTGCGAGACTCCAAAATTAGGCGTGGCTTTATTAATGTGTAAATTATTTATTTTTACTTTATAAGTTCTGTCCTGTAGGTAAATTTTAAAAAGGAAGAGTGAAGTATCTCTAATACATATGCATTCTAGCCTGTGTATTAGAATAGACACAGAAACGGTGTCGAAAGCCTTTTTTAAGTCCAAAAAGAATGTGAAACATTTTCTTGCATGTCCACTTCACCAACTTTAGTAGAAGTGTGATCAAGAGTAGTATCTAGAGTTGAAAGACCCTTTCTAAAACTAATAAATTAGAAAATCAACCGATATAATGTTGATTAACTTTTCAATTATTTCGGGGTTGGGAGGTGAGGACAGAGATAGGCCTATAATTAAATAATAAATGGTATCACATGCACAGATGAAGAAATTTATCTACGGTATTATTGAAATTGCTCTATGGTCTATCCAAAAAAGATAAACTAAAATTTCACAAGCCACTAACATTGTTAAAACATAAATCATCGGCGTATGCACTTATACGCTTTGGTAAGCGGCTAGCCAGTATGGGAATATGAGCGTGCATAACTTGAAAAATTTGTTAATAACAAGCTATTCCCGCAGACTTCAGTTTAGTAAAAACATTTATCATAATACGAATGTAAATATGCACTGTTTTAAATACTTTATACGAGTAATAAGGCTATACAATAAAAAATGAAAATTGTAAATATGAGTTTCGTTCCTGACGCGTTATCTTTTAAACTTTTCGCCTATGCTGATTAATTCTTTTGTGTTTTATAGCACGTTCTGAAAATTATCAGTCCGAATGAAAATAGTTCTTTTTTAACTGTTTCTTTTGACATTAATTTTATTTTAAAAATTTGCCTATATTCATCAACAAGGAAGCGACGTCGTGAGCACAGTAACGACATAATCAACACCACACTCACTCCCATCAACATTGTGTAATTAGGATTCAAGGTACTCGTATGTTAATGGTTTTTGAGCCATAAGTTCCGGTCCATTGATCATCACACTGGATCCATAAAAATTACACATTTCTAGATATTAGACTTTTAATTTTACAAATTGATAACGTCCTACAAATAGGAATCGTAATTCATACATATGATTGAGAACCCAATAGATGGTAAATATTTATATTCTAGTTATAATAATATATTGGTACCTGTTTTTTAAAGCAGTAATTGTATATATATATATATAAAAAACATTAATTTATTATACAAAGCAAACCAGCGCGGTGTGATAAGAAAAGTCATCGCCTCATATTGCCCATGAGATTAGACATAGATGAAAGAGGTAAGCCGAATATGAAAAACCCCATAATCAAAAGGTCTCCGATAGACTGCGATATTCTGAAAACGGCATGTGGTGCATAATATGTGTAAGTCGTTTCGCACCAGAAATGCCAATATGCTAATTTTTTTTTATATATAAGCAAGGGTGATTAGAGAGCACAGAGTTCACCCTATGGTAAGTGTAAGGGCCAAAGACTCAATCATCTAACCCCAAATAAGAATAAAAATGCAGAAGAGTTGACCCCTGAAGACAAAAATAAAATTGCTCGTTACCAGCAAAATGATGTTCGGTACTAACTACTCAGACACACTCACACTACACTACACACACTACAGACGCGGCTCAGAAGGGAAATCGGTCTGTAGTTCTTCAAGAGAGCGTTGTCGCCTTTCTTAAAGAACAAGACCACCGCGCCTCTGCTCCACGCCTCAGGAGTAGTGCCACCATGGAGGACGGAATTGAAGAGCTTCTGAAGGACTTCAAGTACCGGTGTTCCACCCGCTTTCAGAAGCTCCGCTGTAATCCCATCCTCGCCTGGGTCCCTGCCGTTTTTAAGGTGGTGGAGAGCCATTCTAATCTCGCTCAGACTGACGTCCGGGATATCATCGTAATAGTGTCGGATAAGACTTGCTATTGGATCGTTACTC